CAAAGTTATTTTCTTTTCAACATTTGTTAGGTGAGAATAAGTAACCATTAATTCTTCATGTTTTCATTTCACATTTCCCCCATAGAGCATTACAGTGGTATTTATTTGGCCTTGACTCAAAAGAATGCAATCCAAACTTCCTCTTCAGTGGAGGACAACCAAGACAGAATATAAATAAATCAACTCTGAGGGTTTGGGGAGGAGATAAAACCAGTGTGGGTGGAGCATCATAGGGGGCAAATTTGTCTGAATTACTGATTTTAAAAAGAAAAAACATTGAAAAACATTGACAGAATTGTCATCAATAAAAAGATATTCCCACCAAAGTATTGCAGAAAGAACAAACATTGGGTCAAAACTGCCCTGGTTAGTCTGTCTGTCCACAGTAGGTAGACACTCTTCTCTGGCCACTAGAATATAATGATATGCAAAGAGGAAAGCCATACAATTTTTAAGAAGGATCCTAGGTGGGATATCGATTAAGCATCATACTGTAAGCTGGACACTCTGGGAGATAGTTAAGGAATGAAAAGACATGGCCCTTGCCCCTCTCCAGATAGCTCCCTTAAAGAAGATGAAACTTACATACCTGAAGCAGAACTGTTACAAGAGAATGCATAATGTATGAGTACTAAGGTGAGGGGGTCCAGCACTTGCTGGTACAGTCTCGGATGGCTTCAAGAAAAATGTGAGAACAGAATACAGGATGAGTAGGGTTGGCCTTCAAAAAAGAAACCTCCCAACTTATAGATAATTCTTCTTTATGCTGATTCCCACACACACAAAAAAGCCCCACCTCAAAAATTCTATGAGGATATTTTAATGGGAAGTTAGAGTGAGAGGAAGAAATAAGGGTTTGGATTTCATATCATGAAGTTTCTTTCTCCAAAGGAACTCAGAACAGAACCCTTTCTCTTGTCTAGTAGGATATGGTTTTAACCCCATATTGTGTTCTTGAACATTGCTGCTAACTCATCTGATCTTGGGGTGATTATTGCAGTCCTTTTCATATCTAGGATTCCAACAATCTAGAAATCACAAAGCTTATCAGCACTGATCTGAAGTCAATCTGGAATTGCAGGTGATATGTGCTGATGGGAAGCATTTGATCCTTCCCATTGATAATGATCCTTGCAATGCATTCACATTTTCTTTAGCACATGCCCCTTTGCAATTACATTTTGCTTATTGTGTTATTCAAATAAGTCCTACATTCCCTTAACACATGCTGCCAGCAATAGGATAGCATTTTCCCTGAAGTAAATCTGAGACAGGTTTTTATTTTAACCCAACAATAACACAGCCTTAATTTTTAACATTTCAAATAATTGTTCACATAGTGCAGTGGTTCTCAACCTTTAAACACAGTTCCTCATGTTGTGACCCAACCATAAAATTATTTCCATTGCTACTTCATAACTGTAATGTTGCTACTGTTATGAATCGTCATGTAAATATCTGATATGCAGGATGGTCTTAGGCGACCCCTGTGAAAGCGTCATTTGGCCGCCAAAGGAGTCACGACCCACAGGTTGAGAACCGCTGGCATAGTGGCATCACTCTTGCTAATAAAAGCCTGTAGGTACGTAGATAATCATATTTCATAAACCTGGAGGTTTAAATGGTCTAGAGATGTAAGGAGATACGCACAGGGTCACATGAATAGTTGGTGTTAGAACTAGAACTAAAATCCAAGTTTTCTAAACTCCATTTCCAGAGCCTTTCCATTTGGTTCATGCTGCTTTACAACCATAGAACTATACCAGCTTTAGAAAACACAAAATATAAGAATCGGAAAGAATCTTAGAGATCACCCAGTCCAGCAAACCTCGTTAAACAGAGAACTTAAGGTCCAGACAGGGGATCAGACTTTTCCAGAGCCGTGCAACAGTTTTGTGAGGTCATGGGAAGTCAAAATTAGCATTACAGAATAGAAAGGGAATTGGATGGGTAAAAGGATAGGGGTGACATTTTAAGTCCAGTGTTGACTCTTTCTCCTTGCCAATCATTGCCAAGGACCTGGGGAAGAACCCCATGGTCCTCCTAAAAAGGGTTTCTGTTTGATCCCACAGCAATCCATCAATGAAGCCATACGGACATCGACACTCCCCCGAAACAGCGGGGCAGGAGCCAGTGGTGGTGGTGGTAGTGGAGAGAATGGCCGAGTGGTCAGCCATGACTTCCCCAAGTCCATGCAATCAATTCCCTGCATGAGCCACAGTTCAGGGATGCCCTTGGGAGCCACAGGATTATAACTGGAACAGATGGAGACCCCTTGGGGAGCAGGCTCGGGCTCCTCCAACCCCATCCCAAGCCCTTCAGTGCCAAAAACAACAAAATGAAACGCAACCACCACCAACCACTACGACCACAAGGAGGAGGATTCAACAGATTTTCATGAAGAATTGAAAACCATTCTGCTATCCCTTTTCCTTTTTTGATGTTCTTTCACCCTTTTCCGTTGCTAAGTAAGGATGATAAATCACACTGCCCTGCAATAAGGGGAAATAACCCTATCTAAAAGAGCTTGTGTCTCTGACAATGGTGTCATCAGAACACTAATGAGGAAACTGTACTGTTTTCTTTTGATTCATTTGTTAATGTGTCTTAGTGTGTGCAATTTTTTTCTTACTAATATTCATGGTTTGCAGATTCTGTTAGGCCCCTTCCTTCTCCTTACTTCTTATTCCCAACTCCTTACCCACCCCTCTTCAGTTTTCAGATTGGAGATTACAGGTTTGTTCCACTTAAAAGCAAGCAAAAGGAAAAAAGCAACTTTCAAACTAATTCGCCATGGGAGCTCTCTAAGTTACCCTCTAGCCTATGGCTCCAAGCCCTGGATGAAGATGGAGGTCATTGAAGGAGGGCACTGCTTTCCCCAGACAGAGCACTGCCTAAACACTGATTTAGCTGAGAATGCTTGTGAAAAGCAAGTGAGACCAAGGGTGGCGGAGAGGGCACAGGCAAGTGTGCACTCAGAGGAGGACTCATGAAGTTATTGCTTGAAGCCCCAATAAAACTTCCTTTAATGTGTAAGAGCCATCTCACAAGCCTTCGCTGGAATGGTATATTTCTTCACAGAGTCAACCTCAGCCCTGAGAAGTATGTCCTTCTGACTACATTCAAGCCCAAAGGCACTCTGGTGGCTGAAGGGCAATTGGCCTCCTGAGCCAAATAGAGACTTGGGAACAGCTGGCAGCCAGGAAGATAGCACCCATGATTTTCGCTTCTCATTTGCTTAACATCTGAGCAGAAGCCCCACTGAGGAATACACTCTTTTTCTCTTTGGAGTCTCTGACATGAGGGGAATGCTATTCAAGCTAAGTGCAAAAGAAAGGTGATGGAAGAATTTTGGAAAAGGAAGCTTCACCGAAGCCCAAAAGCAATAGAACCTTCCATGATGTGCCCTCTCTTTGGTTTGAGAGGTTGAATATGACGCTTAGGGTTTCGTTGACCCAGACAACTTGGGTTTTCATGTCCATATAAAAGTGTTATTTTAGCATGTGGCCAGACAACTTTCTAAAAAGTAAAATACCCAAGGCTGAATTATTTAAAGGACGAAATGGAGATGGATTAAATTGATAATGACATTGGAGTCCTTAAGATCCCTGGCCCCAACTTTTAAGCCAAGGAGGCAGACCTTCCCCCTGGTTAAAACAGAATGGAAATGTTATATTCTGGTGACCAGAATCAATACACCCAAGATCGTGACTACAGCTGAGCTAAAGCAAGACTGGAGAGGTGACAGGGCTTATGGAGAGAAGCCCAGGCAGACTGCAACTTTGGTTGGGAGGGTGCAGTTCCTAGCACATGGCTTTCTTGGAGATCCCAACTCTCATTCTTGGTGCAATTGGCTTCCAGCTCTCCAGCAGCCATCTCCTAGGTGCATGATTCAGTGTGTGCCATGTGTCATTAGCTTTTATTGATAACCATATTCTGGCTGTCCCCTTATCCCCAACTTCTATCCAGTCTTCTCTGCTAGGGGTTATCATTAGCAATTGACAAACTAAAGGTTTTGGAGCCTGCCTACGAGTAGGCAGCATGATTGGTTTCATCTGTAGATTCTCTCGCTGGAAACACACCACCTCTATGTCCCTCTTATTCTTCTTTCATCAGCCATAGCAAAGAATCATTCCAAACTCAAACTCTTTGCCCTTTCAACTCAAGTGTTATTGTTCAGTCTCTCACATGTCAATGTGGGAATGGTACGTGAAGCAAGACCCTTGAGGTGGATTATCACTTTCCACTACTGCCAGCTGATGTCCTCCCCCAGCCCTTGCCCTCTTGTCAGATTTTTCTCAGCCCTTATCCTACCACTGCAGAATCTGGTCTGACCCGCCATTAGGGAACCTGCATTTCAGAGGAGTTGGAAATAACCCTCTACCATTAACATGCTTCAAAGACCTTTTGCCTTTGGCCTGGCAGGATGCCTCTCCAGCTACTGAGCACCAGTAACATGATCTGATGGTGAGAGGCCATCCGTGCTAAAAATGAGGGTCTATGTTAAGTGGGGGTCCAAGACTCCAGTGGAAGATATTTTTGTCAATGGAGAAGTGACAAGAAAAACAAAAGCAAGGGAAAAAAAAAGTTAACTTGTATTATGTATTTTTACTACACTTTTCTTAAAAATAGAGCAATGGGAAAACTCTGAAAGATTGACATTTTTCTCAACAGGAACCCATACTTAACAATTCTAGCTTTCATTAAATTTTGCTCTTTGGTACCTGGGCCTTTTATTTAACATCTATATTTGTTTTAACTCTCTTGGCAGATGTGTGAAAGGATTTTTGCTTGATCTAACACTAAATATTTTTTTTTGTTTGTTTCTGTTTTTTTCCCCAAGTAGCCAGGTTGATTTTTTTTCTTTTGGCATTTGCATAAACTGAAAATATCACCGAGAATTAAATCACTGTGGATCCATTATCTGCTTTTCATATTTGTTCATTCCATTGTGCCATTTCTGAAGCCAGAGCTCTAGGGCTTATGTGATTTCCTTATTGTGGAACCAAAGTCCAGTACAATTTTTAATGCTGGTCACTATGCATGACTCACAAACAGATCTCAAAGAAGTCATTTCAGCTAAAATGGGTTGTTATGAGTTATTCATCCAAATAGGATAACAAAAAACAAAAACAAAACAAAAAAGACAGAGTGTGGTATTTGATTTTCAAGGGCTAGAGTTACAATTGCATAAGAAGCCACTTGCAGTAGTCATAGTACCTCTAGGGAACTGGTTGGCTCACAGGGAATGTCTCTCAGACATCCCCAAACTGGAGGCCAAGTGATGTGCAGAGAATCACAAGAAAACCAAATCTAGACCAGGTTTCTAAGTAGATAATGTTGGTCATCAGATCACATGACCCTCATTCTTGCCTGAAAGCTTTTATTTTACTCAAAAAAGAGGGCTTCCTGTGAAGAATCTGACATTCGTTGACACTTCAATAGTGAACAGCTTCAAATGTTTTCTTTCCTAAGGGATGCTACATATTAATATGGGTCAAAACTTTAAAACAAATGAAGAAAGCTCTAACAGTGGCATCTCAGGCAGCAACTACCATGATAGAAAAGGGTTGGGGGAAGGAAAAGAAACTAACAGACTTGTGAGAAGCTCCAGGCATTGTCCACACCCACTGTAGTCACCTCCATTCAGGGTGATATTGAATAAAGAAGCAAGAGGAGAAAACTGATCTCTATCACCTTACCATCAAATAGTTGGAACAATGATCATAATGGCTATAAGAGCACTTATTGAGGACTTACTATATTAAGCACACTTAATACCCTTTTATAATATGACATGGTCCTCTAAGGTAGGGCCTTACAAAAGAGAAACTCAGATTTAAAGAGATGACATTAACTTGCTCAAAGTCCTGTGACAGAGCCAGGATTTGAACTGGGTCTGCTCAAATCCAAAGCCTTTATGTTACACACTTCTCTGTTAACCAGGCCATGATGCATGATGGTCAGAAAAATAATAGAGAAACAGTTTTTTTACCTTCCGGTTATGCCAAAGTAACTGAAAATGGTTAAAGCTACACTTGTCACACCTTTGGGAAGGTCAATCTATCCTGTTGGGGCATAAGAGATCACTAATACAGACAAAATTGACAAAAGGGAAGAAGAGGAGAAAGCGTTTCTTTAGCCCCTTTAAAATAGATCCAGGCCAGGAGGCAACAAGGAAGATGGGGAACTGAAAAGCAGGTCCCCTGCAGAATAATTAATTCAGCCTGGGGAAGGATTCTCAGGGCTGTTCTGAAGAAATGGAGCTATACGTCTGTGTGTACAAGACCAGGATTAGTTCTGGGGGTTACGGGCCAATGCACCTACACTCAGCTAAAGAAAAGAGTTCCTGAAAAAAGCAAATTAAATAAATAAATAAAATGGAGTTCCTAACCATCAAAGTTTCCCCATAACAGTATTAGACTAACCCGTGAGGAGACTCTGCCAGTGTGAAAGTTGATACACATATCCTCTACTTTTCCTTGTCTTGCATCTTTTATAGCCCTATTCAGGTTATCTGATCAGTAGCACTCTGATATATACTAAGAGGGAGTCATCAAAGCCCTACAGAAATGACAATGGATATCTTTCACGGAAATAATGTCAAAAATCAACTTATCCTAATTGAGAGACAAGATGGCAAGTTCCTTTCTTACCAAATGCTACTGTTTTCTCTAAGAAAGAATGTCTATGGAAGTCCACTATTATCCCACTTTACAGATAAGAAAACTGAGGTTCTTGAATAAGAAGCTACTTCTTCCAAGATCACCTTGTGAGTAGAGAAGCAATGTAGTACCGTGGAAAGGCCAGTAGATTAGGGTTCACAATATCTGGCTTCTCCTTATTCATGTCAACTTTGAGCAAGAAAATTAAATACTCTGAGCCTCATTTTCCTTATCAAAGAATTGGGACATCTGATGTCAAAATAGGCAGTGATTCTCTTCCCTAACTGCACACTGGAATCACCTAGGGAACTTTAAACAAAATCACCAACTCCCAAGATGCTTCTTCAAATATAGTTTGAGTGAAGGCATAGTTGTTTTATTGTTGCTTCGTTTGTTTTGAACAATCATGTTATTATAATGTGCAGCCAGAACTGACAACCACTAAAATTGGGCCATCCAAAGAAAATGCTCATGAAAACATCATTGGAAACTACAAAGCACTATTAATAGTGGTATTAGACCAACACCAGAAACCAGGTTACCTGATGACAGTCAAATCCCCATGGTCCCAAGAGAGAAACGCCCTTCTAGTCACCTGATTAAAAAAAAAAGAAGAAGAAGAAGGAAAATACACAGTCCCCCAACTTGGACTCTAAATGCTCCTTTGCCCTTTAGGTATATTTGTAATAACATTCTGTTGGGGGAAGACAGAAACACAAGACATTAGAGGTAAAATACAATCATCAGAGGTACATCCTCAGGAAAGGGAAGGTTCAACTTTGTGAAATGAGTCAGATTTCAACATAGCCAGTTATTTTCCAAACTATTTGGCTTTTTCCATTAGAGTCACCAAATCCCACAACCTGCATTTTAAACAGTCTATCAGAAAGCACTGCCTATCAGCTGCTTTTTCATGGGCACTCTGAATCCCGCTGGTGACAACTTTAACACTTTAACTTCTCTTTGATACTATGCTAGGATTTCATATACCTTTCATTTGGCCCTCAAAACAATACTGTGAGGTGGGGATTTATTACCCCCATTTACATATGAGGAAATGAAAGTTCAGAGAGGTTCAGAAACCAAGGTCATTCAGCCAACCAATGACTTGGCCTAGATATTAATCCAAGTCTGTCTTCTCCAAAGTCACTGCCTTCCCACCTTTTTGACTACCTCCTAAGGACATTTCACCACCCTTTTTCCCTTGATCACTCTTTTCCAGCTACCCCAGCTTCTGTCATGTTCCTCAAACATGCCACACTTAGTTCCATCCCAAGGCCCTTGCACCTGCTGTCTCCTTGGCTTGAAACTCTCTTCAACCAGATCTTTTGTGAAACTGGCTTCTTATCAACTATGTCTCAGCTCAAGATGCCATCTGCCCAGAACAGCCTTCCCTCTCCATCTTATCCAGATTAGCTCTGAAGTTACTTTCTCACATTATTCATCACCACCTAATAATATCTTGTGTATTTGCTTACCATCGCCCTCTTCCCATCTAGAATATACATTTACAAGACCAGGGACATTGTCTGCCTCAAGCATAATAGATCCTCAATCAATATTTGTTGAATGACTTGATGAATGAGAGAGGTAAAATGCTCTTTGGTGCCCAGAGAAGGGGAAGTCATTTCTGCCTGGGGAAATAAGGGAAGGAGGTGATAACATTTGTGTGTTGCCTTGAGGTTATGTAGGCATTACACTGCCAGAGAAGTAAAAGCATTAGAGAAGGGGAAACAGAAAAACTCAGGGCATGAAGGACAGAACAGGCAGGACCTATTTGGGAAAGAGCAAGTACCCAATGTAACTGGCACCATGTTGGTCAAACAAATCAGTGAAGAAAAGGCTGGGCTGGGCATGGGAAGCTATTGATCCATTGTGAAATAGGAGTTGAAGATGTTTTTTAAGGGGTGTGCTGAGGAAGAAATTCATTCAGATATTATGTATTGAATTTAGCAAGAAACTAATATTTTACACATCTACTATGTACCAAGCACTATGATCGGCACTTTATACACTACTCTTTAGTCCTGTTGGCAATAACCCTGGAGATAAAATTACCATACCAATTTTATACCTGAGCAAACTGAGACTCAGAGGTAGAAGTAGAGCTTTAGCTGCCTAGAATTTGCATATTTCCACAACAAAGGAATTCCCATAACAGATCAGAGGAAACCATCTGTCCTCATGACAGTTTCCAGTACAAAGCCCCAGAAAGGTACTACCAGATGGGCACAGACTGCCTCCTGTAGATGGCACTTGCTTGAATATAAAAGAACTCACCAGAGAAGGAGCCAGGGGATACCAATGGGAGTTGTACCACCAGAGACACATGAGAATTCTGGGCTCTACACTAAATAAACGAGAACCATAATGGGTTCATAAATCAAGTCATGAGCACAAAATGAGGAAGGAGAGCTGCTTTGCAACATCTTCACCATTCTTGCTATGGTAACGCATTCTCCTCCATTCCTGAAGGACTATACGCTTTGGCCCATGGAAAATGTTGACAACAGTATGATATATGTATCATATGGCAAAGGATCCTTGGATGTACATAAGGAGAGAGAGAGAGAGAGAGAGTGTGTGTGTGTGTGTGTGTTTGGACTATTGCCACAGTAAAGCTGCTGTTACCAAAAAAGAAAACAGCACATAAAATTAGTTCATAAAAACCAAATTAAGAAACTATGTAGTGTAAAAATCATTAACATTACCACAAATAAGCAATGCCACTAGCATTTGTTAAACATCTGCTCCGGGCTGGGCATTTTATATGCATTGTCTGATTTCATGCTCACATGTCATTGGGGAGAGATAGTTGCATTTCCACTGGATAAATGTTTTACATAAATAAATGAAAATAGAAATTTTAAGAGTTGAAGGGAGCTTAGAAATCATCAAATAATTTTACTCAAGTATATTTTATCAATAAGTGAACATGAGGCCCTAGAGAATAAGTGACTTGCTCAAGGTCACATAAATTTCTGGTTAAACTAAGACTAGTTAGAAGCCAGCTCACAGTCCAGAGATCTTCCTACACTTAACCTAAAACTCAATTTCTGGCCTATTCCCTAGCCTTATAAAGCTAGTCAAATGTATCTAGATAAATTGGACAATGACCTGGGGAAGAATTTTTGGATTGAGGTAGCTGAAAACTGTAATCAAGATTAGTCTCAAATCTAAATAAAGTATTCACACGCCTAGATAATGGGACTTCAGACCTGGCATAAAAATTTCCCCCAACCCACCAAAAATGAAAGG